AGAGAATTTTTACGAATTGGTCAGTTTTTCTTTTCGACAGCACAACATACATAGTCGCGCCCGAAAGCGTACAAAGTTGGTCGTCTCTGTCCCGTGGGAAATCAACCCGCACAGACGATGGATTCCTTTCTGCGACGGCTACGACACCGAATCGAGACGGGGCAGTATTGAGAACAGATACCTTAAGTGTGACAAATCATGATAGCAACTTCAATCATGTTGCTATGCAGTGGCTGGAGTTCAGTTTGCGACAAAGGTATTCCCTCTTAATCGGTGTTTCAACAATGCTACTATTATTCTCGATACCTAGGCATTTTGTCGTTGTCGTCAACAGGGTTAGTGATGGATGTGGTGCAATTTGTGATGGTAAAACTAGTTGTACGTGTAATATGCACAAAAAATGAAACATGTCTGAATGCTTTGTCTGGGAATCGAACCCAGGACATCTGCTTGGAAGGCAGATATTTTACCACTAAACTAACAAAGCTGCGATTACAAATTTGTTGTGATGGGAATCACCAGCAGATCGTTTTTGAACTCAGTGACCCATTCCTTATGCATGATTCTTCCTCCTTCTGCCGTACTCAACGTATTTACGTAATACAGTAATCATTCCGTTTAATTTTTGGTCTGGCCGAGGCGCGTGAAACATGCACTCTACTCCAGTGAAATAATTTTTCAGCGTATTGAAGAAATATTTTGATATTTTTTTGTACTGTATTTACGTACATTACAGTACAGTAACGTAACTCAGCTACGTACGTTCGTTCCGAGCTAAATATATACTACGAACTGTACGTACTACGTACTTCTTCAAAATACCCTGTTTGGGTGAACACTGATGAAAATTATTCCCAATTAAAGTCGACTGCTTGCGATTGATTGAATTCCTGGGCGAAGCGGTGTGGAGACCTCCGTGTTGTGATGTGTCCTATGACTGTACTTTTATAGAATCTCTATTTATGTACTCTCCAAATTTGACTAATTCAAATTTGATATCAACATTACCTGTGATGACAAATTGAAGCATGGTTGGATACCGCGAGAAGATCGTTGTCCTTCTGCTCCGGCAAAGGCAATGTGGCGAAGAGCCGCGTCGAGACCCATGGTCTCAGATGCCCAACCCTGCACTTTGAACAGGCCCCCCCCCCTACCAATATCCCCCTCTCCTCCCCATTCCTAAACGGAAACTTTAGGTTGGTAGATGCGACCCCAGTAGATCGCAACATCAACAAAGCGCTGAAAGAACTTCCGTTGTAAAACTACGAAGACACTACCATCCTTGCGGTGGTCGACCAAAGTGTACTTTGCACCAGTTACTCGTACATTGAAGTATCAAGAACCAGCTTCAGTTTATTACAAACGAGAATGAAAACAGCAAACAAATTGGAAAAATAAAGTGCTTATCGAGTCGAAAACAAATATCTATGTCTCTAGCGGTTGGGCGATGCTTCGCCTCTTTTTAGTACAGTATTACACGATGCTATGATTACTTCGCTGTTCATCATATTGTAGTACTAACAATATTTCTTACATCAAATCTACCGGTGTTTGGGATCGTCAAGTGCGAGAAAGATGTCCAGGATAGTATGTTCAGAATACTTTAGATCAGCCCATTAATGATTGGGATTTGTCAAGCCTGACATTTCTGATATGAAATGAAAGAATCGAATCCAGGAGCTATGACTATCATTTTGAACTTTCAGTGATGTGTATTCACCCTGTTTCTCAAAGTATTTCGTTGGGTCATAACGGATTGAGAAAGGCAATACACACAAGCTGAAAATGAGACGTAACTCCATCAGTCGTTTGTTATATGCTCTCAATATCATCATCGACCATCAAGCTGCCAATGTTTTCGGTGGCTCGATAGCCAAGATTTAGTATGTATCGAAGATATTACGTCCAGTGGCTTTGACACAATCACAACTTCTTCAAACGAAAAGTTGCTATTCACCCAAGAGACAGGAAGACGCTGTCCCATTTTTGATTTGACGTCTTTACACACCGGAGCGATTACGACGATATCCACAGAAAAAGACGAAAGCGACTCGAGGAGAAGCTTGGAAGCAGCTTCCGGTGCCTCCCCCCCCGCACCTACACAGATAGAGAGGACAACGGAACAGAGACCACTCATGGCCTGTTCGAATTTTTTCCTAGCCGCTTCCGGTGCTGCAATCGCAATCCTCGGTCGGACCACAAATGTCGGAGAAATTCCGTTCCATGACTCCGRATCCGGTTTATCGTACCAATACCCAGCCCCGGGTGTCTGCAGTGGTGTAAAAACGCCGCAATCAGCTATGCGGATCGGTGCGGTAGGAGTTCCATCAGAAGACCCGAAGGACTCAGCCTTTTCTAGAACTTGCCCACCGGATACCACTTCCCCGAAAATCACGTGCTTGCCATCGCATTGTGGTGCCTTGTCCAAGGTGAAAAAGAATTGCGACGAGTTGCTGTTCTTTCCCGAATTCCCCATACTTTTTCAATTAAGTAACAATTGTTTTCGTTCATAGAATCATTATCAAAACGTTTTACAAAGCAACAAGTGACGGGTTGAAATGAATAGCAGTGAGCATTCCAATGTTTTCAGAAAAGTATTCACTGTATTGTCATTAATTATTGAAGGCGTGGAAAAACCAAACAGAATTCCGGTTTGGTGTCATCCTCAAAATGCATGAAAAACAAAATCGCTAAATTTTGCTTACGTACCTCAACAGTCCGAATCGATTATGTTTCAGATTAAGACCGGCCCGCTCGTCCTTGAAGGTCTTTTTGTTACCAAAGACACACTCGCCCCCGGATCCGTTTTCCAGAACGAAATCCCCCCCCTGGAGGACRAAGCCAGGAACAACACGATGAATCTTACAGCCCCTGTAAGTCAGCGGCTTACCACACTCTCCGATCGGCACAGGCTTTGGTTTAGACGACTTTTGACCCRGASCTGCAGTCACCGACGAACCATTGGAGCAGAGGGTCGCGAAATTTTCACAGGCCAACGGAGCTATGTCCCAATATAATTTGACCACGATGCGATTTCCTGGAATGGAATTGCGAATKCAGACGTAAWTACAGTTCAAATCAGCGTTGCGATAACCTCTCAAAAATACAMTAGCTTTGTTGATGTAGAACAGCGTATGGAATAGATAGCGCAAAGCTATTCTGTGCAATGTCGCAAGSTTTCCGTAGCGTACTGCTMGCTCCTACATACCTTCGGGAGGCGGTTGTGTAATGATGCCGCCGCAAGCTGCATCTTTCGAAGCCCATTCGTGGTCCATGGAAACCAATTCTTTCAAACGAGATATTTCAGATCCACCAAGAGCCAATAGATTCTTCGAGGAGAARCCATATGTCAGATCKGTACTATCTACAAAAGCGGCACATGTCGCTAGTTTTTTCCGGGCGTCGTCGAGATCCAGATCCAAAAAGCAGTAGTTGTGACTGTTGTTGTCGTTTCGAATGCTCATTCCATGCAGTTCCTGGGTGAATCAAATCAAATCAAATCAAATCAAACCAAACCAAACCAAACCAAACCAAATCAATTTTTTTTCAACGGAGGTACTTTGTGTTCAGTAATAGCAGAGATCCTGTGGCATCTGTAGACGATGGATGCCGAGTCGAATTACAAACAACTCCACCGCTACTCGCGGCACGCTACTAATACGCACTTACTAGTACGTACTTAACTCGTACCAGGTACTTTGCCCGTGAAGATTGCGATACTGAAAATGAATATTCCCATTTTTCGTGGGGACAAGAAAAAGATGTTGGTTGGATATTCAGTTTTGCGTTCTTCTTTAGGGGAAACAAGGAGTATTTTGGGGGAGGACAATAATCATGAGCTTAGTTTCGAAGGTAGCTGTACGGTTCGTAGCGTTGGGTGCCGTACCGTACTTCTGCCATTATTCTGCACGACTTAATCCCACAATTCGACTAACGTGATACCTGCAACGGTTTTACGTTTTGCAGAAAAAATAGGAGGGCAAAGACCACGACTAAGTTGCAAACTAGAATGGCGGCACCACTATTTTTGGTCCTGTACCTACGAAGAGCAGATACATCACATTCACAAATGCCGTACGGTACGAGCWGGAACCTTCGATGAAGAAAATGAACAACCAAATCATCTCACAAAATAATCACATCGCAACACCATTACAAGAACAGAACAAGAGCAGCACGAAATGACCGACGATGCTTCTTGCACAACGAAAGCAACAGCAACGGACAAGTCACAATYTATCCATGGAAATAAATACATGAAGCGAATACGAAGACGAATTTCAATAGCACGAAGGAGAATGCAAGATTTTCGATTTGTTATCGAATACTAAATAACAAACTGTTGAACGARATGTCTAGATGTAATGGTTGGTCGTCTCGTGGCATTGCATGTCGGTAGATTGCAGATTTTMGATTTTCGATTCGTTGTCACATACGAAATTCTATTCGGTTGAATGGAATCTGATATCAGCTWACGGTCGGATTTGTTRCAATTGATACACATAGCAGTAGATAGAAAACAAAGCCGTCAGGCAAATTTTGGATAATAAATATATACAAACAAAGAACAAACATTTCTATACAACTACTAGAAGAAGAAGCTCATTTCAAAACAAATTTCAGTAATGGGGCATAATAGCATGRCGTTMTATTGGACCATCATTTCAACAGGGATGCCTTGCATTGYATTATTTACTTGTGATTCCGCCTTCTCTTTGWTCCCGTAAGTCCTCCCTTCTTGCCAGATTTCCTCTTCTTCATAGCGCGTTCCATTCCTCTCTTGTCGTTCTTCAATCTCTTGTCCACCATAATTCCTCCCTTGACTCCYTTCTTGCCTTGTCCCTTCTTGGAAACAACATATTCCTTGCGGCCGCTCTTCCTGTCGTCGGACCGCAAAGCCTTGCTGATGGTCTTCAGCTTCATTGCCTCGGACATGTCCGCAGAATTTGCAATTGCCTGGGCCTTCTTCTTGGCGTTTGCGAGCTTTTGTTTCGCCTTGCGATTCTTTCTCGCGCGGGCTTCGGCAACCTTTGCAATAGGTTTCGTCGAGAGGGCCAGCATCTTTTCTTTCATCTTGGCCAGAAGTGCCGGGGGGATCGGGAGCTGCGGACGGTAGTGGCGGTTCTCGTCGTCAACGAACCACTCCGGGAGATCACTAGGGTCGTTCCAGGCAAATCGGTTATACGATGCATCCACCATGGACTTTGCCTTCGAATGGCGGAGCATCATGGTTCCCAGCGCGAGTGTCTCGGCGTGGTCGTCGCTGTCGTAGTCCTCGTTATCGGAATTGTATTTTCGGTCGTCCATAGAAGGCAGGGGCCTCTCAGCTTCCACAACCTCGAAGCCCACCTTCTCGCCTTTATCAGAAGAGGCACCCTTCCCCATACCGGCCTTGATCAGCTTTCGGGCCTCCTTTATCTTTTGTTTTCTTTCCTCGGTCATGCCTTCCATTTGCATTAATTCATCGTCGTCAAAGTCCTCATCGTCGTTCGCCGACCTGGGCACCAGGTCAAAGTCGCTCGCTTCCTCCCCCATTTTCTTCGCCCGTCGGGCCTGGCGGCGTTCGTCTCGTTCCTTGGCCTTGATGCGTTTTTCGTGGCGCTTTTGCTTGTCTGTCTTGGGCATCATCGCCAGGACATCGTCCGCGGTAATTTTCTTTTCTTTCTTGCTTTCCTTCTTCGATTGGCCAGCATTTTCCCGTCGGGACTTTTTGGAGGGGYGTTTYTTCTCTTCCTCGTCGTCGTCGCCATCGYTTTCGTGGTCGCTGTCGTCGTCGCCCAGCGGATCGCTTGTTGCCGCTCCGGAGGAAGACTTTTGGTTGCTGCTCGAAGCCGCTGCGTTGACGGCCTCGCCGATCTCGGCAAACAACGGATTGCTGAACCACCGTGCCGTCTTCATCGGTGTGGGCTCGTCTGGGAATTCRTGGATCAAGGGGTTGGAATTGTTACCGCTGCTCACAGCKGAMTTTTTCTTCTTCTTTGCTTCGTGTTCTGCCGGTGTCATGGGTTCGTCGTCGAATCCATCGTCGCTATCGTAGTTTCCTTCCTCGTCGTTGTCGTCGTCRTCGCTATCATCGTCGCTGTCTTTGCCACCCTGGAGCATCTTTGCGTAGGCCTTGGTGTCGGCGTTKATTCCCTTCTTYCCGGTCAGGACCATTTCTTGGTCCTCGTGGGACTGCTGCGCCATTTTTTCCCGCAGCAGYTTTTTCGATCGCTTCGCGGCCTTGGTACCGATCTTGTTAGCACTGTTCTTTGTGTTTTTAAGGAACAKATCGTATGCGAGGTCAAGCTCRCTTTCCATTCGGTAGGAATAACCGGTGTCTGCGTTGCGCTCGGGGATGCCTTTTTTCTTGAGGTAGTTGGCTCCTCCCATTTCGTCGTCGCTATCGTCGTCGTCACTGTCCCTTCCAAAGGCTTCCTCATTCGTCACCTTGTCGAGGTTTACTTCCGCAACGTTGTCCAGATCCTTTGAGGACTGCAGAGTGCTCAAAGAAAAGAACTGGTCGTGTTCCTGGACCTCAATGGCATTGAGATCCATCCCAAAGGCTGCCTGCCTCCGCTTCTTCGCCATGAGTTTTCGCTCCTTCTTTTTCGCCTTTTTCTTCTCCCGCAGTTTTCGTTCCCGGGCCTTTTGGATCTCTTTCTGGATCGCATCCTCGTCATCTTCTCCGGCGCTGTCCCCATCGTCACTTTCTCCGTCGCTGCTGTCGCTACCGCTTTCCTCGTCGCTGTCGTCACCGTCCTTGTTAGATTCCTGGGCCTTCCAGGCCGCCAGCATTTTTTCTCTCCACATGACCAGCCCCTTGAAGTCTCCCTTGTTCAGGACCTTCAGATCGATCACGCACTCCTTGATTTCGGCCGTCGTGAAGGGATGGTTCAACAAAAAGTCGCACTGCTCCTTGCTGATRTTGTCGTCGTCGTCGGCCCGAAAGGTAAACCCGGTGCATGTGCTCAGCGTCTGGATCGCGTCGAGCTGTGAGGAAGCCCCAAAGACAAAGTTCGACACCGGTTCGATGTGCCGCATGGTACCGTCGAGATGGTCCGTGTCGTACCCACCGCGGTGACGCTTGGCCTGGTCCCAGGACTTGTGAAAGACGTTGAATTTCTTGTCGGCTCCGGTGGAGGTGTCTTTTCCGCCCCCCTGCGTGTCGCCCTCGACGAATTCGAAAATGTGCTTCGGATCGAGGAGGCGCGGGTCGATCTTGTCGGGTTTGTAGTAGCCCTGGCAGACGTAAAAAATCTCCGCCGATTGTTGTCGGGAGGCCTTTGGCTTGAAGGTCGAGACCTCCCGGAAAAGCTGCTTTACCACCCACTGGAAGGACGCCGAGTCCTTGCTGCGGTAGATCTTTGTCACAAAGGACCCCATGTGCCGCAGGTGCTGGGTCGCACAACGGAGGGCGTGCACCGCCAGCTCCGTTTGCATGTACGCGTCCTTGTCGTAGCTCGCTCCGATGTTGGGAGCTCCATCGTGGAGCACCACGTCGACGGTTCCCTCCTTGCTGTTGTTGCGATCGTTGTTGCCGCCGTTCGACGTCGACTCGATGATGGCACGGTTGATGTCCGCCTTGCACTTGTCCGTGGTGATGTCCCCCACGATGGTGGTGATGTTGCGCTTTCCGAGGCTCCGGATGGGCAGGATGTCCACCGCGATGATCGAGGTCTGCGGCCCGCAGGTCCGTTGGGCGACCTGCGTCCAACCACCGGGAGCGGCACACAGATCCAGAACGACGTTGGTTTTGCTGTGCATCAGCGGGTAGTGCCGATTGATCTGGGACAGCTTGAAGGCGGCACGCGACCGGAGGCCCTGCTCCTTGGCGACTGCAAACAGAGAAACGAAGAAACACAGCACGGCAGCAGAACAGAACCGAAAATCAATTATTCGTTCGCATCGAACAACAAACGACAACCAGAACAACGGCAACATATAAAAACACAAAAGTTAGGAAAAATTAAAAACAACAAAAAAAAACAACAACAAAAAAGTATGTTTCTCAATTTTTTCCCGCGGGCCGACGCATCCACTTTTCCCGTGCATTGTTTCGTATTGTTTCGTTTCATTTCATTTCTTTCCGACTCACGCTTATAGTATTTGTCCTTATCATGGAACTTCTTTCTCTTGCTATTCTTTCCGTGATCTACCATGGTGCCTGCTGTTTTGTTGCCCTCCTGCCGAGTGTTGCGGTAATGTTGTTGTGTTCTGCYTGTTCTCGACCAATCCTTTTYGTGCTCGTCTTAGTGCTWGGTTRTTTTGCTTGTTTTTCCTGTGTTCTATTGTTCGAATTGTTAATCGATGGAGAAACCCCTCCGTCGGAACGACTTTGGGCGAGCCTTCGTAGATTATTGGATCGTAGCTTTCGGTAGAAGGGGAGTTGGAAGGGAGGAAAACTGAGAGTTGTCGTCGTTAGCTGTTCATACGTGTTTTCTTCGTACAGCACGTACAGGGGACTTGAGAACTCGGTTCAACTAATGCCTGTTTTACGACCCACTTTTTTTTCTCGCTTTGTTTTGGTGGCTCCGGTGTAGACGGGCGAAGGCAAGACTAGACGCAAAACATATTTTTTATTTTTCTGATTATGATACCGTACAGTACTATTTAAGGTATGATTATGAATCATTATCGTATGGTCATACCGTATGTATGTAAGGTATGTAGCGTTTAGCGTTGCAGATCCCAATCTACGAATCACGAATCACGAGTCACGAATCAGACTCCAAGATCCCGAGGAAGAGTGAGGTTTGCGAACGAACTTCCACGTTGAACGGGAGGAACGCTTTCGAGACGGATCTCTGACGGAAAAAAACATGTTGATGTTTTTCGCGTCGAATGGAAGGGGGGAGAGAACAATTGACAGCTTCAACTTGGAAACTAGCGTGCCAAAAATCCTCCTTGTCGTTCGTATCCCTACTATTCCTCCTTCGCCTCGGCCCCTCCTTCAAACAACGCAGTCCTAATTCAGCAACATCCTGCATATTTTGGCATCGCGGAAGAGAACCAATCTATTTTAACTACCTGGCAGTACAAGTATAGCAATACCCTAGCATACCTCCACGCCATACCGTGCACTACACTTGATTCCATCGTATCGGAAATCGAAACAAAACGACGGGGACGAAATCGAATACACAACAAAAAAAGGATTTACTAACACAGAAACAGACCACAATGAACACTAAAAACAACAGCCACAACATGGTGCTTCTGCCCCTGCTGCTGATGGCCGGATCCAAGCTGCACCAGGCGGACGCCTTTCAGCCACCCGCCCGGATAGCAGCTGCCGCGGCACTTTCCGGCAGGCCCGCTGYCACCACCAGCCAGCTCGGAGCGGCGATCCCTCCCCTCCACGACGCCGCCTCGTCGCTGGACCCGCAGGAATTGTCCACTCACGCTCACGCGCTCCACGGATTCCTGCAGCACCACACCTCTACCTTTTTGTCGGACGCGGCTGCGGCAACCCTCGATCCCTCCGGAAGCAATCCCCTGGAGGCCATCGAAGCCGTCATCGAAA